CACAGGTGACTGACCGCACAGGTAACAGACCACACAGGTGACTGACCACACAGGTGACTCCCATCACACCTGTTGTTACTGAAGGTTAACGCCGACCCGTTTGCTCTTCTGCAGGTTAAATCTTTTGTTGACCAACATTCAGAGGTGACGGCAGACGAGGATCCAAAGGGATGAAGAAGAAGAAGATTGAGGGACTTTGAATGTGAATCAGGACGAATCGCTCTGAGGGACAGACAGTCAAGACTGATTGGACAGACTGAGTCCAACCCCCCACCTCACCTGACCTTACCTCACCTCACCTGCAGCAGGTGTTGGGTGGGCGGGGTCGGGCCCAGCAGGCGGGCGGGGTCAGGACAGGGAGGAGTTCACCTGGTGAGCGGCTGTGGATCAGTCCTGCTGGTTCTACGTAAATGACAAATCAGAGGACGCGCCTGGTCAACAGTTTTTAAGAGAAGATTTATTTTCGGGACTTTGGTCGTGATGTTTTATGTCCGTGCCATAAAAGGAGCCAGAAGATTTCCCACGATGCTCTTGGTGGAGCGGCTGCCTGAGGAGGCGTGATGCTGGAGGATTTGACGTCACCTTTGACCTTTTTAACTTTGGTTGAATTTTAGTTGTTTTTCCACAAAGTGAGACAGAGTGAACTCTGGGTAATGAGGCGGAGAGACTGACACCATGACATCATCTGTGATGTAGCCTTGTTGTAAACAATAAAAAACCTGAGAGGAGGAACGGCTGCTTCGGTGTGGATGGTTTTTAGATCGCGAGTCCAGAGTCGGGGTGGTGCTAACTGGTAATCCAACGATCTAACGATTTACCCGAATAAAAATATATATTAAAGATGTCAAAAGATGTATCTGTAGTACCTGGTTGTTCCAGCAGGTGGAGCACTCTGTTTGTTGAGATGGAAGGCTGTGGGCTTTTTTGTTGTGTTTAATACTGTTCTGACCTGATGATGTGGTCGATCATACTTACGGCAATTTGATGTTTTCAAGCAGAGAGCATGGAGGCGGTAGCTAGCAACGGGTAGCATGACGAGCTAACGGTTCACAACTTCCTTCAAATGGGGTTAGCGTGACCAAGCTGCCATTATGTGAACGTTAAATGTGATGAATGTCCACCATGCTTCATTCATTGTAGCGATCAATCGATTATTAATTAAAGGGTCTCAGACTACAGATTATGAAAATAGTTTCAAATTCACATCCTGAGTTCTGAGTGACATTTATGTGTCAGAACAAAGTCTTAAACGTTCGCGCATCAAAGATAAAAAGTTAATCTGAGTGTCTGAAACAGGCTCATTACTGCCTCCTGTGGTCGGCCAAGAAACTCAAGCTGCAGATTTAGTTTCAGATGCTGCCGTCAGCCACAGGGGGGCGCCATGCGTCCACTCAGGGGTTCAGGTGCTGACCTCACTGGTGGCACATCCTGACCGTCTCTACTGTCACGGAGTTATAAAACATAATAGAAATAGTTTGTTTATCCCAGACCTGGGAAATTATGTTGTTACAGCAGCAAAAAGAAAACACCAAATCACAACAAGTTACAAGATGTGGTCTAGAAATACCTGAAAAGAAATACTTTAATAAAAGGTAAAGAAGAAATATCTGACAAGCAGTGATGACGACAGTAACAGAAAACCAAACTCTGTTTCACCTGAGAAAGATTTAGTTTGTTCCAGGACATGGTGTGTGAGAAATACTAAAAAAAGACAGAATGTTCTAGTCATTCTGTTCTAGTCAGTCTGACTCGAAATCATGCAACATGCCTTAAAAATGGCAAAAATATATTTTTTTTTCTTCTTTATGTGCTGAAAAAGATCAAAAACTCGTTATTACTTGTCCCGTTAATGGCCCCAAAAGAAAGTGTCAGACAAATATTTTTGTAAAAATATTCAGAAAATATCAAATAAATAAGATTGCTCAAATATTAAAGACTTTTTTTTTAGCCATAAATCATTTGAAAACAAAATTAATTACATTTCCTTTGAAAAAAAAAAAAGTCTAAAATGCAAAAAAAAAAAAAAATGCTGGAAAAAAACAATCTGTCAAAAGAAATATTAATAAAGCAGCATTATATTGATAAAATATCCTCCAAATATTAATAAAAGGTCTCATAAATATTAAAAATGATGAAACTGGAGGTGAAGGGTGTCGAGTCGCTCCACCTGCAGCAGCTGTTGTTCTGTTACTGGGATCAAACCAGCGCTTCACCTGTAATAAGATGTCTTTACAGTTTGACCTCGTTAGTACTGAAGGATTTAGTTCTCAGGCAGCCATAAAGCCTCAGAACCATAAAGAACTCCTTCAGCCCAGTTCGGTGGAAACCGACTAACCAATAGAACCTGCTCGAGTCTCTCAGGTGTGAGTTCAGGTGTTCTTCGGTAACCCGACACCCTCCGATGAACGTGACCAGGTGATGTCACCGATCTTTACCTGCCGAGACCCGTCGGCTGGGAGTTCTGGTCAGACTGGTTTCTGTTTGTGCACTCTGAGAAATAAAGGTGCCGACTGGAACCGAGGGCGGCTCTTCGACAGAACCATCAGAGGTTCCACAAAGGAGGTTCTTAAAAAAAACTATTAGAACTGGATCCTTCAGTCACCACAAATGCAAAGAACCTGAACAAAAGTAGGTTCTTAGAGGAACCACTTCTTCAAGCTGTTCTTTAAAGCGCTCCCTAGAACGCCTCAAGGAACAATCACAAAACAATTATTTTGTTTAGTGTAAATGCTGTTTCAGGAACCTCAAAGAACCATCAAAGAACATTTCATTTAAGCGCCATGAATGAGGCTCAAAGAGCAAAACTAGGTTCTTTAAAGAACAATTTTCAGGTCCCTAAGTGGTTCTTCAGGTTTTTGTTTTCAAATAAATGTCTTTGTTTTAGATCAAATGATTCTGTTCCAGATTTGTCAGTTTATTCACGTTCCTTTTCATTTTATTAAATGTCAGCTGAGGTTCTAAAATGTCTGTTTCAGAGGCGAACAACAACAACAGAACATAGAACCTTTAGAACGTCAGAAAATCTGCAGACTGGAATTAAAAATCAAGAAACGCTGAATGCATCTGAGCATTGGCAGCGTTTCTGGGTTCCTTCTATTAGAGACCATGTAATAACTTGGGTTCTGTTGGTTCTACAGAACATGACACAAGATACCAGCTTGGGGTTTGAGAACTGTTCTGGACTCTTTTTGTTTTTTTTAGTTTTCTGATTCTAGTTCTGAGCCGAGCTGCCACCAAACCAAAGAACTCAATTAAAACTGAAGAACGTTGAACACATCAGAGAAACACATGAAGTACGTGAAGAAGCATGAAGAGGTTCTTCAAGTGGCGATGGTGCTTTGAAGATCCAGAGAGCCTTCTGAAGAACCGCCACCTGATCCTCACCGGAACCAGCTTCATGTTCTGATCCGTCGGGATCAAAGATTTTATTAAAGACACTAAAATCCTTGTCATCTGTGAAGGAGGAACTCCACAGAACAAACCACATCCTGGATCCTGACGAACGCGTCCAGTTCATCCTGAAGGTGGCGCTGCAGGAGGTCAGCAGCAGCATTTAAACCACATCAGTCACATCAGACTGAAACTATCATCAGATCATCAAACGTTAAAATGTTTGTCAGTCATTTCTAAAACCAAAGAGTCGGTTCACTGAGGTGTAAAATCATCATCATCAATAACGAACATATCTGCTCGTTAACTTAGTGCCAGTCAACTAACTGATCACCTGGCTTACAGCTCCAGGAGACAACTGGACAATTAGTCTTTATTACGTCTGAAGTATTCAGAAGAGTCACATGTCGTCAGCATTGGTGAACCAGTGGATCTTCACTGGAAGTTCAGGTCTTCTGGTTAATAAGTTAAAGAAAAGAGTCCTTTTAAGAAAGAATACTGCAGCGTTTATTGAAATCCTGAACATGCTCACTGACAAGACACCTAATGAAATGATTTATACTCAGCTGGAGGAGAGTCTGTCCTCATTAGTCCTGAGAGCTTCGGTGAGGAGCAGCTCAGCTTCTCCTTTTGGTCCTTAAAAACACTTCAGCTGAAGTGAAACTGCAGCTCTGAGGATCAGAGTACTGGGACCTGAGAAACCGAGGACCTCCACAGACCGTTATCAATAATCTGTTTAAAAAAAAAAAAAAACCCTGAAGGTTGCTCTGACTGGAAATGATCAGAGCAGCTGGAATCCATTAAAGGACCAGTGGAGCTCCAGGTCCATGGATGCTCAGGGCCCAGCGGGGGTCCAGGGCCCCTGGATGTGTTGACTCTGCAGGAGCCTCTGCAGCTCTTTAAACTGCTCCACCGTCTGGTCCTTCACATCCGGGTTGGAGATCTGCAGCCGGATGCTGTCCGTGGACCAGCTCAGTTCTCCAGAGAACATCTCAGTCAGGATCCGAGCCACCACAGGAACCACCTGAGGACCACAGGGGAGCCGCTTTAAAACTGGACAACAGGAACCACAACGAACCAGATAAAAGTCACAACCAGAACCTGTTGCCATCCCCCTATCAACAGTCTCCAGGATCACAGAGCTGTTGGTGGTTGGGTTAGCATATGAAGCTCTGTGATTAGCATATGAAGCTCTGTGATTAGCATATTAAGCTAGATGGCATATTTAATCAGAATAGTCAGTACATTTAGTAGGTTAGGATATTTACTTAGCATATTTAGCTAGTTGCATATGCTAATATGCTAACCAGACCATCAACGGTTAACAGGCTCCAGAATCACAGGCGGCACCGTTAAAGGCCCGTACGGTGGAAATCCATTCCACTGTGTTGTGTAGCTGCTCTGAACTTGGAGGTGTGATCGTGTGTAACTGTCTTTGTGTTACAGCCTCCCAGCTTTACACACTGATAAGAATTTGCCCTAAGTGCGACCACAACTAACCAATAGTGGTCCAGCTCAGACTCTGCGTGGCTCCGCCCCCTCACTGCCTCCAGGTGAGTTGTGCATAATGAGCAGCTCGGTCCACCTGGTTCATGTAGTTTGCATTTAAAGCTACAGACACCAAGAACACGGTGGAATCAACCATCTTTGTGCTATTTGGAGCTGAAAACCTGAACGACACACTGTGGAGGTGTGACACTTTATTCATTTGCTGAAAAGGGGACAGCGTGAGACCTTTAAGACGATCGGTCAGCGTCAGCGCCACCCAGCGGCCGATGTTGTACATGACCAGCCTGCTCACCTGGACGATGATGAGCTTCTTCTCTTTAGGTTTCCTGTCGGGCCAGTCCTCCCCGAAGCAGAAGTAGATCTCAAAGGGTGGTGGGTTCGGAGCTTCCCCTTTCTGGAACATGATCAGCTCTGTGGGCAGAGGAGCGTCTGTTAGATCACACCTGGAGGCTCACAGGTGAGCCAACCGAACCAACCTGTTGAGAGCAGTGACCTTGCAGGAAGTTGTTGAGGCTGAACACTTTGATCTTCTTCTCCCTCTCCATGGGGTTCGGCGGTCCCTGCTCCGGCATGCCCGGTCCGGACCAGAACACCTTACATTGGCAGAGCCGGACAGCGTAGATGTCCTGCTCCCAGATCTCCAGGATCAGACCGCGGTCCATCACATCCAGAAGCGCCTCCGTGTAGAACCGCTGCTTCTGGTTCTGGATCGCAGACGTTCCTGGGAACAGCACCTGCTGCAGGGTGACGGGTCCGAACAGGTCCACCTGGTCCGGACTCGGTTCCAGGTGTCCGTAGTACAGCCGGCACCCTTGGGGGTTACTGACTGTCAGAGAGCCCATTGCTCGGCCCCGGTACTGGAACTTCAGGTCCAGATCTGTTACTGTGGCAACAAGAGGGAGAGGACCATTACCACAGCATCAGAGGACCAGGATGTTAGTACCTGATGGTGGACAGCAGGCGGCGCTGCAGCACTGTGGACCTACTGATGGACGTTTATCAGGACCAGTATTAACAAAAACACCGACATGATGCCAGTTCATGTTCATCAGACGCGCGAATAAAACACTGAATCTGTTTAACCACAGAACCTGTTACACCCTCAGCCACTCCTTCACCGCTGAGCCGGCAGGTGGGTGGGACGAGCAGGTGAAGCAACAGGACAGACTTTTATCCTCACGTTAATCCTGCTGTTCCTCGGAGACACTCAGAGAGCAGGAACTGGGTTTCTAAAATACAGAACATCTCTGAATGTGTTCGAGGTAAAGACTGAACCCTGAAATGTTCAGGAACAACTTTAGCATCATGAAAACCACAGACGGGATCTGGGATGGGAGTCCAACACCTGGTGCCCCAAACTGCCACAGTGGTCACTGCAGGACTAAACATCTGGTACACTGGACCAGGACCAGGACAGAATCCTCACTTATCCTGTTGAATCTGGACTTATCAGAAGTGTTTTAAGATTTGAAGCTCTATTGGATTCAGTCCACCAGTCCTCTAGTCTATGTGGAACACTTAAAAGTGTCCTAGGGTCTATTTAGAACTGTTCTGATGCTCCAATGGTCTATTTGGAACTTTTACGACTGATCTTGTTCTACTCAGAACTGTTCCGACTCACTCTTGCGGTTGAAAAGTACTTCAGTACGTTGGTTTTAGGCCATTTTGTACACGGCTGTTTGGATCTCATGGACTCAAGAAGTAAACTACCTGAAACACCAGAACAACTTAAGACTCCTTTCAGAGGACAGACTTACGTGGGACGCTGCTCAGCAGATCGTACTTGCAGGGTTGGTGGTTCTGCGGGTCCCCCTGGTCCTGGACAGCCCCCATGTTATTGATTTCCATTGGGCCCAGGCCCGGGTGAGCAGAGGCAGCACCAGGGGGAAGAGAGTTCATGTCCTGGAGTCCGTCACAAAGACCTCCAGGATGAGCAAAGCTGTCCTGATCCACCATCTGACCCTGAGGCTGGAGGTCAGAGGTCATGGGAACATCTGAGGTCATGGGTAGAACTCTGTCGGGGAGCAGCGGCACCGGGATCACCTGTGGCGGTCCAAACGTCCCGTTGGTGGACAAACCAAACCGATCCGTGAAGGAGGCGAAGGACGGGGGGTCACCGATCCTGGGGTCTGACGACATCATCAGATTACATCAGCAGCCACTGCGTTTCCATGGAGACACTGAGCTAAAAATGGTACTTACTGATGGTGAGGTCGTTCAGATTGGGCATCTGGAAGGATCAACAGGATGGTGGTCAGTCAGGTGATAACACATCAGCTAAGGATGCCCCGACCAATCAAAGCATCTTGTAACTGATGAGCACAAATCTAAGCCCAACCCTTTGTTCACATCTACTGTCAGCAGGTAAGCTCAGAAAAGTTCTTAATAAAAGCAGCCTTATCAATAAAAAATATTGATTCGATCGCAAACTGAACATTTACCCCGGAGGTGATAAAGCAGTCTCTGTCATGGTGCCCCTTTACCGGCTAAACCTCCACAATGCTGTCTGCTTGAAAACGTAAACTGCCTTTAGTCTGCGTGACGCCTCCTCTGGTCCCTACAGTGTAAAACAGTTACAAGCTCCACCTGGTGGAACAAACAGGTACTACTACAGTCAAACTACAATACTTGAAGTCTGTATTATCTCTGAAAATAGTATTAGATTGGGATTCGCTACTCGCAGATATGAAATGTTCCCGGATTGGAGGCGAAGCTGCTTGATCAGGGACCCCTACTGTCAGCATACGGTTTGTTTTGAACACGTTTCATTCCTCACCTCCTCATCGTCGTCGTCACCGCCGTCTGAAACAGAAACAGAAACAGTCAGACGTCAGGAGGCCTCAATGGGAGGTGATGACTACACCTAACTGGGGCACTTTTAATCCTGTTTCCAAACCCAATATGAATTTGAGTTATGTTTCTATGGTTTCGTTATGGGTTAGCTGCATTGTTCAAGCGACCTCCGCCTGATGATATCTGTTGGTACCGACTACTACATGGAGGAGACAACACAGACTGGACATTAGGACATGAAAAGAGAGAACCCACGGAGAAATTATGACTTTTCTGTTGTAGCGTTTAATGCAGCGTTGATCCCTCGTTCACTCGTCTTGTCATGATGTGTTTCCATAAACATGAGATTTATTCTGATGTGTGTTGAATTATCATCACTTTCTGTGTTCAGTGTTTATTTCCAGGATCTGTAGAAGAACGTGTTGTAAAATAATATATATGCTGTTAAATGTTAACATGAAGACAACATAAAGCAGTTTGTAGCTCTGCACACCTGGAACCAACACCTAGAACCAACACCTAGAACCAACATCTAGGACCAACACCTAGAACCAACACCTAGAACCAACATCTAGGACCAACACCTAGAACCAACACCTAGGACCAACATCTAGAACCAACATCTAGAACCAACATCTAGAACCAACATCTAGAACCAACATCCAGAACCAACACCTAGAACCAACATCTAGGACCAACACCTAGAACCAACATCTAGAACCAACATCTAGAACCAACACCTAGAACAAAACATTTAGAACCAACATCTAGAATCTGTGAACTCCAGTTTTTGGTTCCTACCAATGATCCACGTCAACATTGAGTCTAAACAGTTTGGGTTTTTTGAGGATGAAAATACAAAAACTTCCAGCTCTGAAAACGTACGAAATTCTCAAAATTCAGCTGAAATGTTTTATAGACATTAGTTTCAGTTTCTAAATAACAACTAAGTCAGTTGTGAACAAAGGAACAGGCACCAATTCAACAACATATGTCATGAATTTGGTCCAAACCACACTCACCGTTGACGTTTCGCTCTCTGTACGGTTCAACACAAACCTTTTGGTCCAAAGCAACATTTAAAAACCTGCACAGACTGAACCTGAACCTCTGCTCCAGGCTGGGAAATGAACACGTCAGGTGGATGGATCATGTGATGAACACGTAAAAGCTCCTCCACAGGTCACCTGACACCTGAAATCCTAAACACAGCCTGTCCAGGTGAGGGCGTTCACCTGTGTTCCCCGGATGCTCGTACACCTCGTAGATCTTGTACGGCTGGACCGGAGTCTCTTTGGTTCCGTCGTACTTCAGCTGGAACTCTCTGCTTTTGTTCAGAGCACAGCGAAGGTTTGCTTTCCACTTGGCGGGGTCGGGTTCGTCCACGCCTTCCTGGTATTTACCTGTTTCCAGAGCCCACGCCTGCCAGACACAGAGCAGGGAGAAACTTTAATCATACATGTAACCAAACAGCTTCAGCAGCTTCATATCGGCTCAGTACAGTTAATGGAAGAGTCTTCATGTTCAGCTAAGCTAAGCTAAGCTAAGCTAAGCTAAGCTAAGCAGTTGCTGCCTAAATAATAACTGTACAGACATGAGAGTGGAAACTAAAACCCTTTAATCCGGGTCAGTTGGTGATTCCTCGTCAGCATTTAGTCTAAACATGTAAAACCAGAACCTTGTCTGGTCCAACTTCACCACATCAGGTTCTGCTGATGTTAGAGCCTCAATAGGTGGTGAAATGTGACCAGAGACTGGGTTCTAGTAGAACCATGGATTCATCCATAGATAGACACTGACAGGGACTTTCTGGGGCCATAATACCCCCTTTGTTTAAAAGCGTTGCACCCTATTTCCATTCCAAGGGCCAACAGATATTTATTATTGTTGTTCTGGACAATGTTTATCTTACTTTTGACTATTTTTGAGTCATTTGGTCATTTTTTGGTCATTTTGGACCATTTTAAGGTCCCATCTGGGGCCACAACACCACCTTTGTTTAAAAATGTTGCATTTTCTCCCACTTCCAGGACCAAAAACGTACAAATCTGTCTTAAACTAGATCCAGTTTATCATTCTGATGTGCTGTAAACTGTTCTGGTTCTGTCCTTATGAGGTTTCATGGCTGCTGGAGTTTTATTTCTGGAGACACTGAACCCTTAAAATGGCTTCACAGGGTTTTGGGGTGAAAATACAAAAATTCTCACATCCGAACACTTCAAATTTTCAAATTTCAAAAAAATATTTGACACAACTACGCAAGTTGTGTAAAATTTGATCCAGGTTCAACTGAGGTTTGGACCAACAGGAGCTTTAGAACTATTTTCTCTGAGTTTATTAAATAGCAGCAGCATCTGCGCTTGGCCTGAAGTAAAGCTTCATTCACCACACGTTGAGCTGCTCCTTTAAAGACGCTGACGTGTGACGATTCAAACCGACGTGTTTTCGTTCAAACTCGGCTCAAAGGCGTCGGAAATGAAAGAGGAAGCAGCGAAAGAGGAATCGACATCATCAGCTTGAAGTGAACTCGCTCAGAAAGCGTGAAATGAAACTCCCCCGAGGAGGAAGTCCAGCGGCGACTTCTTGATTTAATGAAGGCCCGTTTGTTTGTTACGACTTCTTCATTCGATGACGTGGGAACCAACGATTTCTAAACATTTCCTCAGAACCGACTGCTGTCATTTATTTTATTTGAAGTTTATTTGAGTTTGAATCCAAACGGTTTGCTGTCGGCTCAGAGGTCAGAAGGTGACTCTGACCTTGAAGATGGTGTTCTCCTCGTCGGACGCCGGCGTGTGACGAGTCGCGTGTTTCCAGGGAATCTGGAAGAGTCGGTGGTCCGGCGTGAGCCACTGCAGGCCCGGATACCTGCCGCTGTTCACCTGGGCCAGCAGCCAGGGCTTCAGACGGATCCGCCGCGGCTGCACGCTCATGGCGCGGGGTCTGGGAGCACTGGGAACACTGGGAACACTGGGAACACTGGGATGGGAACACTGGGAACACTGGGATGGAACACTGGGAACACTGGGATCTGTGGGTAAACAGAAGAACAGGTCACTGAGTGTTGGTCTGACTGAACTGAAGCTTCCTGACAGTAACTAGTCTGATTATCGCATAAGTTAGAGCCTCTGCAGCACCAGAACCTGATCACTGGGTCGAGCCTCCAGAACCGGGCCCCGACAAGAAGAACCAAAGAACTCTGACCCACCGTCAGACTGAAACGTTCTGATTGAATCTTTAGTCTGGAGACGAACCGGTTCATGTGATTCACTCCAGCAGTTTATCAACCAGTTAACCAGCTGGTTGTTGGTCCGGTTAGTTCATGAGTAACTAAGTAAACACCTGAGCGGGTCGTCAGTGAGTCCGGTTGGTGGTTAATTAGGTAATTATCAATGATTTAACCTGCATAAGTACAACTAGTTACTCTGTTGATCAGTCAGTTATTAGTTAGTTATTTGGTTACTAATTCACTGATGTGTTCCAGGACCAGTTAGTTAACATGAACCAGTTAGTTAACACGAACCAGTTAGTTAACATGAACTAGTTAGTTAACATGAACCAGTTAGTTAACATGAACTAGTTAGTTAACATGAACCAGTTAGTTAACATGAACTAGTTAGTTAACATGAACCAGTTCGCTGGTTAGTCGTGACTTCATCTGTTCTTCTGTAACTCACAGACTGTTTTCAGCTTCTGGCTGCTGAAGGTTGTTTGTGTTTCATCAAAGTTTTAAGAAGTTACTGAGTGACAAGATCAGACCGAACCGGTAGAACCGGACCACAACATAGAAACCGGTCCAGAACATAGAAACCGGATCAGATCTTACAAACCGGGTCCGACCTGGACCTGCCCTCAGTCGCTCAGAAACTCTCCACAGGTGTGACGGCAGTGATGGACTCACCTGGTCTGGTTCCGGTCCTGGTTCTGAGTCTGCGCCGCGTGACTCGTTCAATCGGGGCTCCCTGTAATCCTCTGCGGTGACGTCAACAAACAAACAAACAAACAACGTTTCAAACTAACGAACAAACAAACAGCGCAGACTCGGACGCGCTGCACAAACTGCGGAGGAAGAAAATCGAGTGACGTCAAGTTGCAGCGAATGAAAACCGCTTCCTGTCGAAGGTCCAGCCGCTTTCAAAATAAAAGCTTCAGTCACAGCAGAAAATAATGATTCAACATTTAGTGTTTGTTCCTAAATTCTTCTTCTACTGTCAGAGGTCGCAGTCTGACCGCGTGGAGGGAAAACAGGTTGTTATTCTAGTTCACAAAGAGACTAAATATTTAAGAGAATCCTGTTTGATCGCAGCTTAAAATGTGTTTTTACAAAATCGGTGGAGAAACATAAACAATCACATATAAATTAATCTTGTTGAACGTTTGTTTTCTCGGTGTGTTATAATTATTCAATTTAACGGTAAATGAAGGTGTCTTATTATGAAGGGGTACCAGCTAGTTTCCGGTGTATGCGGCTAACTTTACATCCGCCTTTTTTCTATTTTTGCAGAAGCTGCAGGTTCCTTCCTGCTCCGCCTGAGCGCCAAACTGAATCATTTTCATGTGAACCAGAAGTGATCAATAACAGGCAGAAATAACAGAAGCTCCGTAATCAATAATCCCACAGACATAATAATACGTAAATAATCAATAACACAATAGAAATGTTAAATAATAAAACAAAAATAATCAGCACTGCTAATTAAACTGGATGTTTCAGGAGCAGTCAGAGGTTTTATTACTGATTAGGATCGTTATTTTATTGAAGTTGTTTTCAGTCATGTTGCTGGTTTTCACTTCTGAGCGCTTTTATTTTGAAGCTTCAGGCTCCTGTAGGCCGCTGTGATGTCTCCAGCTCTCATTGGATAATTGGCCCAGATTCTGACACCTGTGGGGGATAAAACACCTGAGTGTAAGTCTGTCTGTAATCTGGCTGATGATGAAGTCCATGAAGTGAAAGCTCTGGTTCTGAATAAACTAACGTCAGCATCATTTCCACTGCAGGTAGGACCCAGTGAATCCTCCTGGACAGAAGCAACGAGGCTGTTAGCATGAAGTTAGCGTGTTCAGACACCTGAGCAGAGACAGGTGAGCTGATACCGGTCTTCCAGGTCCTTGAAGTCCACAGAGGAGGGTCCAGATTGATCACTTTAATGGACTTTTTCCATCATTTCTGAGCCTCAGAACTTCATCAGTACAGCAGATAGACACATGACATTTAGGAGGAAGAACACATCTGGGTTCTGCTAGAACCTGACACCAGATCAGTTCTACATCCATCCAGGTGTCTCAATCTGAACACTGGATCTGGTTTCTGTTCATTTTCTCTGGAACCAACTTGGACCCTCCTCTATGGACTTCAAGGACCTGGAACTCTGGAATGTTCACAGTCTGAAGGTAGAACTCTGGTCACTAAGTTACTGCAGATACAGAACCAGATGTTCTGAGGAGGTTCTGGTGGAGACGCTGATGGATTTTATTTATGTGTGTGATGAAGTTCTGTCTGTCCTCAGTCATCCCCAGACACACCTGTCGGCCTCCTCGGGCAGGTAAGATCTGAACCTAGAGCACTAAACCTGATCCACCTGGACGGCGGCGCCCCCTGCTGGTCACTGACGATACCTTTCATCTAAAGCTGTGTTTCCTCCAGACTCCTGGCTCCACATCCGGCTGTGCTTCTGCAGCAGGATGTCTGAACACTTCGCCGAAACCTTTTCAAGTCAGAACATCAACGATGAGCAACGGACCTGAAAGGTTTCATCATTCCTACACATCAGAACTTGAGCTTTTGATCCACTTGGATTAATGTGAGTCGGGTCAGACCGGCAGGCTTCACGTCTCTCAGAGCGACGAACCCAAATCAGACTAATCCGCCACATACTTGCTGTTGTGTGTTGGTTGAGCTGAGGAGTGGGTCGGTTCTGATTCTGGACAAACTAAAGACTTTAGATGACAGAAGACGCTCCTGTTTACTTTTGTGCTGCTGAAGGTTTTCCAGATCGTCACATCGTTAATTCATTTTTCATCTTGGTTTTTATTCCGATGACTTACAAAAACAGTTGAATTTAAAAGTCACATATTGTCCCGTTTACATCAAATTTTAAAAACCTCATGCCTCCTCAGTGTGTCTTCACCACGACTGTTTAAAAGCCTGTTTCAGTGTCTGTAGCTGTAAATCCAGGAAGAAGACTATATATATATATATATATATAACTATCTATAATATCTGGAGTTTCTATCATCTAACTTTGCTTCTGAGGATCATTTTACTCGTAATCTTTGTGAATTCTCTGAGTTTTTCAGGCGACGTTATGAAACCAGAATTGTATTTTTGTCTTAACGAGACGCGTTTCTTCCTCGTTCTGCTGTCAGACAACAAAAACAATAAGATCTGTGCACGTGAGCAGCTTCACTGTGAGTTCAGCTGATATTTAAATGCAGTTAACGAGCACAGAGATCAGGAGAGAAGCTACAGATGGAAACGTGAAAACACGGTAACCCATGTAGTCCTGGTTTACTGGTTTCACCGTCAAACCATCTGACTATCAACGCTAATGTTAGCCACAGTATGCTAACACTAAGGACTGACCTCTGGGTGTTCAGGTCCTCAGATGCTGGCGGTGCATCAACACTGTTGTGTTCACTCTTGCAGCCAACAGCAGAGTTTTGAAGTACACTTTTCATTGTGTCACCGTGAGCACATTCTGATCGACTTTAGACGAGTTTTGACTCATTTGGGGCCAATTTTAAGTGTTTTTGATTCATTTTGGATGAGTTTCGAGTCATTTTTGGTCACTTTTGACGAGTTTAACTAAACAAAAGCTCTCGCATTCACTCTTTCAGCACAACATCTGGTGAGTTTTGTTTGTGGTTCGGACATTTTGAAGTTTAGCAGAAGCAGCTGTAGAAAGTAAATAAACCTGGTGACTGCTCATTTTGATTGGTTCATTTGGAATCAGTGAGGGGGCGGAGCTATACAAAGCTGGAACACTATTGGTTCCTCAGTTCTGATGTAGAAACCAGATGAAGTTCTGTCTGNGTTCATTTGGAATCAGTGAGGGGGCGGAGCTATACAAAGCTGGAACACTATTGGTTCCTCAGTTCTGATGTAGAAACCAGATGAAGTTCTGTCTGGTCGTGAGGTGCTGGAGGAACATCAGAACTAAACATCTTCACATATTCAACAACCACAAAACACAATAAAAAAAAAATTATTTTTCACCAGATAGAACCTTTAATATTTAAAAATAAAGCAAAATAAAATTACATATTCCAGCACTGAGACACGTTTCATTATCAGCAAATATTTCTGTATTTGGGTCCATTTCAGCCTGATGTTAACGAGAAACCTTCTCATTTGCATCATTTTTATCTTAATTATCCTTCAATCTTCAGACGTTTGTGTGCAGAAAGTTTTTCAAAAGTGTATGAAAGTAGAAATGAATCTGTAAAAAAAAAAAAAATCATCAGCAGTCAAAAATGAAGAAAATGTCATTTATTGATCGTCCAGAAGAAAATTGTTGGTGAATCAGAAGTCAGAGTACATCTGTCAGGTGTGTCTGATTGGTTAATTAGTTAATTAAGTGGAGTCCTGCTCTCTGATTGGTTGACAAGGCAGATTTATTTGTTCCTGCTCTCTGATTGGCTGACATGGCAGATTTATTTGTTCCTGCTCTCTGATTGGCTGACATGGCAGGTTTATTTGTTCCTGCTCTCTGATTGGTTGACAAGGCGGATTTATTTGTTCCTACTCTCTGATTGGCTTGTCCAGCGAGGTTTCTCCTGTAACGCATCCTCTTATTGGTTCGTCTGCTTGTCGTCGTCTCTCTGCAGCGTCTCTGCGTTCGATGCTGTGATGTCATCAGTGTGAGCGGCGGTGGGCGGGGCTTCTCTTCTGCCAGGTGACCTCAGCGTCTCCCAGGTGTGGAGCTCAGGTTTCTCAGCCACAGCGAACAGATCCATCTGAAAGCGGCAGCGTCCTGGAGGCTCGCCGATGCTGGAGGCTGACGATGGAGGAAGCTGAGTTCTGGGTCTGTCTGCAGCTTCGCCGACGTTTGGCGGCGCGAGCTGAGAGAGTCTTCGGGTGTAGACGCCCTGTCGGCCGTGGAAACTTCCCGCCTGCGAAGAAGACTCGTAGTGTCGACTGAAAGCTCTGGTGTGGTACGAAGACTCGTCCATGAATCCGGCCGGGTTCGCCTGAGGACCGACAGGAAGCACAACGTCACAGAGAAGCACCATCATGGCCTCAAACATGTGGCCAGGTGAAGGCTGTTACCGCGCTGGGATGCTTTCCGACGGACGCTTCGTCTCCGGGTTCCTGTAGGCGTCTCCTCCGAACGGTCCGAAGCAGCAGGAACAGAACCACGGACAGAAACATCAACAGGACCATCGCCGCGATTCCTCCTGCCAGCCGGCTGTCCACGTCCCCGAATAACTGCTGCTCAGTGAACGCAGCACGAGGCACTGAGAACAAACAAGAAGCTCACGTCTCTGAACGCACCACCAAAGGCTAAAGAAAAGGGCTGTTGGTCAGTGAACACACCACAGGATGCTGATAACAGAGTCTATGTCAGTGAACGCACCAGGAGACAATGAAAACACAGAGGTCCTGTCAGTGAACGCACCACAAGGAACTAAAAACACAGTTTATGTCAGTGAATGGACCTCGAGGCACTAAAAAACAAAAGGAGCTTGTGTCAGTGAACACACCACGAGACACTGATGACACAAAGGTTCATGTCAGTGAATGGACAAGGCACTGGAACCTCACTGGTTCATGTCAGTGAACGCAGCATTTGGCACTGAAAACACAAAGAGTTTATGTCAGCGAAGGCACCACGAGATGCTGCAATCAGTGAGCTGCTGTTAATGTGCTGGTGGAGGAAACGTCTGTCATGTGTTCATGTTTGTTTGTGTGTTCACGTGTTCATGTTTACACGTGCATTCAGAGCTTCATGTTGCCGTCTCACCTGTTTGTCCTCTCTGCAGGACTTCAATGTCCACTGAGGCTGAAACTTCTTCTCCTGATTCTTCATCTCTGGCCATGACCTGCAGAATCATCCAGAACAATCAATAATAACGAGGATTATAATCAGTAATAACGAGGATCTTAATAATCACTTAATATGTCTGTTTAGGTTGTTTTGTCCTCAGACAGA